AGGCTACCGTGCATTTCACCAGCCGAGAGCCCAGGGTCGGGGTGGGGGGGTGGCGGTTATTATTAAGGAAGGCCTGGATCCAAGGGAGACCACTGTGCCGCAGACTGCCGGTTGTGAATCCCTAGGTGTGAAGTGGGGTCATGGGAGGCAGCAGGGCGTGCTGATTGTATACCTGGCTCCCCGCTATGTATCAGCAGCCATACCCAAGCTTCTCAGTGTGATAGCCGAGATGGCGATTGAGACCCCCAGACTGTTAGTCATGGGGGATTTCAATCTGCCATCGTTAGGTGAAGCATCTGAGGTGGCTCGGGAGTTCATGGCCTCCATGACGGCCATGTACCTGACCCAATTAGTTGATGTCCCTACCCACACCGGAGGACACACACTGGACTTAGTTTTTGCCTCCGGCCAGTGGTTGAGTGATCGTGGTTTAGGGGAAATAGTCGTTGAGCCCCTGTCATGTTCAGATCACTCTCTCCTTCGGCTGGCCTTTCCTACCGCTACGCCCCACCACGGGGAGGCGGAACCAGAAGTGACAAAATGGTTCCGTCCCAGGCGCCTGATGGACCCCGAGATGTTTCAGACGGAGCTTTGGCCAATACCCGAGACCTTGACCCGCGGCTCGACTGAGGACCTGGTGGCCGTCTGGAATGGTGCGGCCGCGGGGGCCCTGGACCGGCTCATGCCTTTGCGGCCTCTCACCCGATGCCGGACTACCTTGGCTCCTTGGTTCTCCGAGGAGCTGAGGGTGATGAAGCGTCGGAAGAGATGCCTAGAGGGTAACTGGAGGGCCACCCGCTCCGAATCCGACCGGACACTGGTAAAGTCCCATTTAAGGACTTACCTAGTGGCGATAAGAGCGGCAAAACGAAACTATTTCTCCGCTCTTATCGCGTCTGCAGGTAACCGATCTGCCGCCCTGTTTAGGGTGTCCCGCTTCCTCCTTCATCAGAGGGTCCGGGACGCCCCTTTGCAGGGTCGGGCAGAGGAATTTGGGTGTTACCTGCATGACAAAATCGATCGGATCCGGGCCGGGTTAGCCTCCGATTGGACTAGTTCAGGCGGGCCAATGGAGGCAGGTCTTGAGTCCACTTTTTGGGAAGAGTTTGATCCTGTGACTCCCGAGGACATGGACAGGATGCTGGGACGGCTGAACACCACCACATGTCTACTGGACCTGTGTCCCTCATGGCTGGTACTGGCCTCCCGGGAGGTTACACGAGGCTGGCTCCAGGGAATCAACGCTTCTTTGAGTGAGGGGTTCTTGCCGGCCGCCTTGAAAGAGGCGGTGGTGAGGCCCCTCCTCAAGAAGCCTTCTCTGGACCCGGCTGTTTTGGCCAACTACCGTCCTGTCTCCAACCTTCGCTTTCTTGCAAAGGTTGTTGAGAGTGTGGTGGCACGACAGCTCCCTCAGCACCTGGAAGAAACTGTCTATCTAGACTCGCGCCAGTCCGGCTTCCAGCCTGGGCACAGCACGGAAATGGCATTGGTCGCGTTGGTTGATGATCTCTGGAGGGCTCGGGATAGAGGGTGTTCCTCTATCCTGGTCCTGCTAGACCTCTCAGCGGCTTTTGATACCATCGACCATGGTATCTTGTTGCACCAGTTAGGGGGGTTGGGGGCACCGTTTTACGGTGGTTCTCCTCCTACCTCTCGGACCAGTTGCAATTTGTGTTGGCAGGGGGGCAGAGGTCGACCTCGAGGTGCCTCACTTGTGCCCATGGTGTCCCCAGCCAGGAGAGCGGAGAGGACAAGTTGTAAATATACTTCGGTGACCCACTCTAGTAGACACCAAAGCCCCACCTCAAAGTAGTCATGCGTCTACTGTGGGTCGACATGTAGAGGTGGGGCCTGGTGGGGTTGGATGCCACGGAAGTGATGTCCCGGTGCCTGGAGGCCGTGCGAGTCTGGATGGGAAGGAACAGGCTTCGACTCAACCCGTCCAAGACCGAGTGGCTGTGGTTTCCGGCGTCACGACATAGCCAGTTGGCTCCATCTCTGGCTATCGGGGGCGAGTCATTCCCTGCGGAGAGGGCCCGCAACCTGGGCGTCCTCCTGGATGCTCGGCTGTCTTTAGACCATGTGACGGCTGTGGCCTGGGGGGCTTTTCATCAGGCTCGCCTGATACGCCAGTTGCACCCCTTTCTGGATCGTGACGCTCTACGCACGGTCACTCAAGCCCTCGTTGTTTCCCGCCTGGACTATTGCAACGCTCTCTACATGGGGCTCCCCTTGAGGTGCACCTGGAGGCTCCAGCTAGTTCAGAATGCGGCCGTGTGGGGGATTTTGGGGGCCTCTAGATACTCCCATGTAACACCTCTCCTGCGCGAGCTGCACTGGCTGCCTGTGGCCTTCCGGGTGCGCTTCAAGGTGTTAGTAACAACCTTTAAAGCGCTCCATGGCAATGGACCTAGGTATTTGCAAGACCGCCTCCTACCAAATACCTCCCTTAGATCAGTCCGCTCCCACAGAGAGGGCCTCCTTAGGGTGCCGTCGGCCAGTCAATGCCGGCTGGCGACCCCCAGGGGGAGAGCCTTCTCTGTGGCAGCTCCTGCCCTCTGGAATGACCTACCCCCCGACCTACGTACAACTGCGGACCTGTGCCTCTTTCGCCGAGCCTTGAAAACCCATCTATTCCATGCGGCCGGCCTGGCGTAGTTTTGATTGTGTTTTGGTAGGGGTTTTTATATGGGGTATTTTAGAGCAGGCTTTTTATTTAATATTTATTGTGATTTTTATTATCGCCTGTTCACCGCCCTGAGTCCAGTAAGGGAGATAGGGCGGTATATAAATTTAAATAATAAATAAAATGTGCCATGCCAATTGATGTAGAAGTAATAATAACTACAATTTATTTGTATTTTAGTCGTTTTACCATTCGTGTGGCTACTTTAAAACAATTTTGTGAAGAAGCAAATGTTCAATACAAAAAACTTTTAGGATATTCAAAAGTTAGATGGCTTGCTCTAACACCTGCTATAGAGCGTTTTCTACAATTATTTGAGCCTCTCCGTTCATATTTTTTAAGCTTAGACAAATGTCCTAAAATCCTGGAATCGTTTTTCAATAATGAAATATCTGAGATATTAATGTATTTTGTACATAATCAAGCATCTATTTTTCACAAAACGATTCAAAAGATTGAAGGTGAACACATTTCAGCTACAGAAGTTAGTCTTATTTTGAATGACTTTATCCTTCAATATAAAACTTGATTTGAAGTAAAATTTCTTCCTTTAGTTATAAAAAGACAATTGTCAGACTTAGAGGAATCAAATCTGGGCATAACAGAAAAGTTTATCAAAGAAGCGCAGAATTTTTACCAAACATGTTTTCAATATATCGAAGAATGGTCTGAAACAAACATCACAGGAAATAACAGTTTTCAATGGTGTTTTTTGACTTCATCGCAAGTATATTGGACAGATATTGAATCTTGTGTTGATTTTTTATCTAAAGAAATGCCAGACATTAAAATAGACGACAATTGTCTCTTTGAAGAAATTAGAAGACTGAATGTATTTTTAAATTCTGAAAAATTAATACAGTGGGAAAATAAACACGTTGAAATTGATAAAAGGGTGGAAATATTCAGCCATTTCAAAAATGAACATATTCCATGTGAAAATTTATTTATTCTTGTTCAATTTACGTTGTGCTGCCCTGGAACTAATGCAGCAGTTGAAAGGGTTTTTTCAATTGCTAATGATTTTTGGAAAAGTGAGAAATCGAAATTGCATGTTGATACTCTAGCTGCAGCACTTGCCGTAAAATTCAATATGAAGGATATTTCTTGTTCAGATATTTCCAATATATTGTTAGAAGATGATACATTGACAAAAAATATTCATTCAATGGAAAAGTACTCATTTAAACAATAATTAATAGGCATGTAAGCATAATTACAATATAAAATGTTATTGTTACAAATGTTTTTATTATGCATTTATCATATTATAGTGTATTCTGTATTATTGTTGCAATGAATAAAATGTTTCTTTCATTTACGATATTTTTTTTCTTCAATTTATTTGTGTCCTCCTCATTGTAAAAAAGTTGGTCACCTTAAATGAGGACTGTTAAGTGAGGATGTCTTGCTTAATGGCTATCACAGCATGCAACCATAATGGGCAGCCTCCATTATGGTCATATGTTGAGGACTACTTGTATTTGGGAAATGGAAGTATGGAAGAGTCAGCTGTGGGTTGTTCATGCATGTATGTATGTATCCTCTGTAATTTCTGAATGTAAGGATTTAAATGGTTAGCTACAGAAAGATTAACTCTGATCTGATTTACACATTTTTTAAAACTGATATGTTTTTAGACTTTTTGTGCATGAATGTGTTGGCTCTCTTGAGGAAGTACCTCACTGATACTATTATACTTACTAGAGGACAGCAGCTTTGGAGTGGCTTAAATGAGTACACAGGTTTTATCTGTCTTAAGTTTTCCTGTATTTAGAGGTATATATCTGTCATTCCTTTTTCAACTTTCTATCAATTTCATTACAGGCATGGAATGTCCTAGCTTTGGATGGTAGTAATTGGCAACGCATTGACTTGTTTGATTTCCAGAGGGACATTGAGGTATAATTAAGTGACATGCAAAAGATTTTTTTTCTGGTTAAACTATAATTACGGTGGTACCTCAGATTAGTAACAAACCATGTCATCTTTTGCAGATCTCGAGAGACAAATTGTTAATTTTTACTTTACCTAAAAACCTTTAAAGCCATAGTATGCTTTAGATGGAAAACTCCACTGATTTATATTGTGTATGTTTATCTCTATATGAATTCATTCAGTATCATCTGTGCACAAAGATTTATATCCCTAATCTGAAAATATTTTTAAAAAATCCATTATGTTTGGAGAGGTAATAATCCTCTGAATTTGATCTTTGTGTCTTATAATTATATTAATATTATATCTTTGAGGTATATCTAACATTGAGCAGCATGAGGAAACTGTAACAAAAAGCCAAAGTCAGCTTTCTCTAAGAAAATCAGCCCATGATCAGCCCCCCCCCTGATTTTATATGACTGTGGAATGCATGTTTACGTGGTTAAGTTAGCTGCAGGGTCTTTTGCAGGCACAAACTGAGAAATAATATAGCACAATAAACAACATATAAGATTGGTTGAATGATGGCATACTAAATTATGATTTGTGCTTATGCTTGAACATATTCAGCTGACCTGTTTGCCACAGAGAGGAATCTTAGTGCCACAAGCTTAGCACATACAGTGTAAGCTTCAGCTTCTATGAACTGATCCTAGACATGCCTGTTAATGAACCAAATAAATACAGGCATTCCACAGAGCAAAACATTCTGAATACAATTTAAATGTACAGCCCAGATGTGAAGGAGGATAGCAAGGTATGATAAAAATAGTATCAAATAGGAAAGGAGGGCTTTAAAGTTGTTTGCTGCATGTAAAATTAAACAAAGAAAATTAATTTAGAAGATTCTCTTCCTGTTCTTCTTACAGGGACGTGTAGTAGAGAATATTTCTAAAAGATGTGGAGGATTCCTTCGAAAGCTGAGTCTACGTGGTTGCCTAGGTGTGGGAGACAACGCATTGAGGTAGAGAGGTCAACACAAATTATTTAACACCCAGCTGAGAACTGGGCATGAGAGGATAGGGCAAGTAGCTAATTTGGGGTATAAAACCTGAGGCTGCAGCATCCTCAAATATTTGAATTTTGTGTTACCAAAGTTATCTCTAACACTAAACTAGAATATAACTTTGATGCTGTAGGAGGGAAGCATCCTTTCTCTCTTCTATCCTCCAGACCAGGCCTGCACCCACCAGGGAAAGGATCACATTAATAAATTAAAAATCCTTGTGGGCCACAAAGAAATACCAGGAGTGCCAATCAGCTGTTCCACGACTAGTGGAGTGGCAGAAATACTGGAACTAGCATCATCATCAAGGCTTGGAGTTGGTCAGCTACATGTTTTGGGGGGCAGCAGTAGCTGTAAACTTACCATTTTTTAAGAAAAACGGTAAGCTACACAAGGCTGCTTGTGGGCTATATGTTGTGCAAGCCTGCTCTAGACCTTTCCCATCTCCACACAACTCTAAGCAGAAGATTTAGTACTATGTAGTGATGTAATGGGAAAGCTTTTAGGAAACGGGATAGAAAAAAGCCATTTGTTTATTTATTTAGCTAGCAAATTTATATAACTGTCCATCTCAAAGATGTGAGTCTGGGTGGTGCACAACAAAACAAACAGTTAAAAAAAATAGAAACTACTATTAAAACAATTAGACATAAATATATAACCAAAATTACAGGAGAGTGGACAGCATTCTATGCAACAACACAGACTGGCTTCAGCTTTTATCTGGAACAGTTCTGTTAAGTCACTCCTGGTAAGATATACAATTTCTATTATGTTGCTTAGAGTAACTAAAATACCTATCACTCTGGTAATGCTTATCCCAGTAGAGGCCAGCGTACATATGGTACATAACCATTGGTGCCACTTTAAATATAAAAATAGGGGTTCAAAATTGGTAGAAATTTGTTCTGTCGGAAATGTCTATGGAGATTCTCAGTCATCCAGGTCATAGTTATCCCAAAGATGCTTTTTCATGAGGCAACTGGACTTTCTTGTTTTTCTTTGAAGACGTTTCGCTTCTCATCCAAGAAGCTTCTTCAGCTCTGACTGGATGGTGGGGAATGGAAAGATTTATACTCCTTGCAGACAGCTTGTCATTTGCATTCTTTTAGCAAGTTGTTAGTGCTACCTGGAGGCTTATTTGTGTCTTCAGGGTCACCTGAGTAGTGCAAATGGGTGTGGAGCCTTCTTGGAACTGTTGAAAGGACTGTGTTGTAGGCTGGAGATAGATGATGTCCTATCCCTCTCAACAGGGGGAGGGATACGACATCATCTATCTCCAGTCTACAACACAGTCCTTTCAACAGTTCCAAGAAGGCTCCATACACATTTACATCACTCAGGTGACCCTGACGACACAGATAAACCTCCAGGTAGCACTAACAACTTGCTAAAAGAATGCAAATGACCAGCTGTCTGCAAGGAGTATAAATCTTTCCATTCCCCACCATCCAGTCAGAGCTGAAGAAGCTTCTTGGATGAGAAGCGAAATGTCTTCAAAGAAAAACAAGAAAGTCCAGTTGCCTCATGAAAAAGCATCTTTGGGATTCTGTTGGAAAGATATTTTCAATAGGATTGTGTTTGGTGTTTTTATTTTGCTTCTTTAAAAACTGGGTATTTTCTCTAGATATTATCAAAATACCAGTGAAAGTTTATGTTGCTGGCTTTACTTTCCAGTGTATATGAAACTTTTTAAAAGTCAAATAATTCCTTTTGGATTTTTTTTTTTGAGTTCTGTATTTTGTATTTTAACTTGGTTTTGAATAAAATAAAAACAGGTTAAAAAAAGTCAAATAATTGTTATAAAATGTTCCATTGCCTGAAAGAATGTATACTTCTTTACATAAAGGACATTTGCACAGAGCTGCAGAAATATTGAAGTGTTGAATCTAAATGGCTGCACCAAGATTACAGACACGTAAGTGACATTTATTTTGGAGCTCTGGAATATTGCATTAACTCTTTAAAACTTCACTCTTGTACGACTTAACAGAGAGTAAACCTCATTGGAAATTAGTAGGATCTTCTGAGAAGACATGTATAAGATTATACTATGATTCCTCTTTCCAAATGATCAACCCTGCCCCACCACTCCTTTATTGTTAATTTGCTCAAATAGGGTACAGGTAGTCCTCAACTTACAACAATTCATTTAGTGACCTTTCGAAGTTACAACATCACTGAAAAATGTGACTTATGACAGTTTTTGACACTTATGACCGTTGCAGCATTCCCATGGTCATGTGATCAAAATTCAGACACTTGGCAACTGGCTCATATTTATGACTGTTGCAGTGTCCTGGGGTCATTGATCCTCTTTTGCAACCTTCTGACAAGCAAATTCAATGGGAAAGCCAGATTCACTTAACAACTGTCTTACTAACTTAACAACTGCAGTGACTCATTTAACAACTGTGGCAAGAAAGGTCATAAAATGGGGCAAAACTCACTTAACATATGTCTCGCTTAGCAACAGAAATTTTGGGCTCAATTGTGGTCGTAAGTTGAGGACTACCTGTATTTTCATGTAATACTCTATTTCTTATTTCATGATTGAAGAAGGATGTTGGGATGGGATTAGAGTAGATTGGTGGTGAGGTTCACCTTAATCTTCTTATATGTATCCATATCTGCATATTATATGGCCTACATCCACCCTACATTGGATCCATGTACACTTTTCAGTTAAACAGAACAGAGTCAGTTGTGACTATCAGTTTTCTAATAAACAAGGGGGGGGGGGTTTACTATAAATTTAAAACATACATGTGATTTCATTAAAAGTAAATTTAATTGAGCAGAATTCTGACTATCTCACTTTGGATTACTTGGAAAACAAACTCATGCTGCTTGTTCTGTGCACTTCTTTATATAGGCTAAAATAGAACTTTCTCATCTTCCCTAGGGAAATGCATGGATTTTTTCTACATCAAAAGCCTTGAATGTTTTACCATTTGGGGAATGAGAGATGTGAATGTTCTGTTTAAAATACTGTATATTACAGAGATCTTTTTAGTGTCATTCCCATTTGTAAATTTGCAATGTTTTCAACATATCTATTTTTATTTCTTATCACAAGAAAATCATTGAGGAAGGTAAGATGGAATAGCGGCACAATATCTTTTAATTGCTAGAATTGGTATCCATCTGAAAATGTCTTAAATGCTTTTCCCTATTTTTGTAAATAAAAGCACAATGAACCTGTGGGTATTCTATTTTTTTCCAGTACATGTACTAGCCTTAGTAAATTTTGCTCAAAGTTACGGCATCTTGATCTAGCTTCCTGCACATCAGTAACCAACCTGTCCCTGAAAGCATTGAGGTGAGTGTTCACACTGTTCATAAAACTAACCACTTGAGCTAGGTTAATAAATGTAGACTCATAGTGATTTTGTTTCATTTAAATATGTCAGATGCCTTTGTGATGCATTTGTTCTCTTCCTTGTCCAATGTGCCTGAATTTCTGATAGCACTGGAACTGGCCCAGTTTATAACTTGAAGGAAGAAATATGTGGTTCTTTTGTAGTTAATGTAGCTCTTGAGACTCGGGCGGGACACAGCATGACTTTTTGTATGCCAGTAGGCTGTTTTCTGATCCCAGGACAGTTCCTAAGTCTAGGATTTTTTTATTGTTTTTTCCAAACAATTTTATTGGTTTTTCCATTTTTGCACCAAGAAGCTTAAGAACCAACGTGGAGATAGGGTAATCAGTTGAATACAATAACATCCTAAATATACGGCTCAAATAATACTTCTTAAAATTTCCCTCTCTATCAATTAACATAATATAGTCAAAGTAATACATTTCTAAATAAAATTCATTTGTTAATACATTCCTAAATAAAAATCCCATTAATCAATAAAAGTTATCAGCAACCCATTACCTATGTAAATCAAAATCCTGTTTTCAGCTATTATTAATTTCCAAATACCATATCCAACCTAGCCTTAAACAGACATATTATTTACCATTTGGATGTCCCAAACTTCTCTTATTTAAACATATTATTTCCATCATTACATTCTTACATTTCTTAACTATATTCTGTTTCTTATTCAGTAATTCTTCATTTGTTAATTTCATCTCTTCCATTATTGCAATCTTTTTCTCATTATACCTCCACAAATTAATTATCATACCTAATAATAAAAAAACATAAGAAAATAGAAAAAATAGTAAAAAAAGACAGAAACAGACCAAGCGGAAGAAAGAGAAAAGAAGGAAGATCCATTATTCCAAAGAGTGTATTCTTACTATATTTCAATACTAAATTCAAAATCTTATCCTAATAACACCTCTTAAAAATCCAAATCCAAATCAATCCGCATCTCTATGAAGCCTTTGCAACCCATAACTGTAATCTTAAATTCCATATTTATATCTTATTCTAGCTTTCTTTCTATTCCAAACAGCTTTCCATAATAAAGACTCTAAATCCGCAAATAAGTCTCCCTTCATCTCTAGCCGGAATACGTAAACCAAAGGAAAGTCTCCCATTGTCCATTTTAATTGGCTAGTAACAAAGGTGTAGCAATTCTCGATATCTCATAATTGGACCTCAATCCCCATCCTTTTTGAAGTTGTGTATAGTTTAATTGCAGTCACTTTTGAATCATCCAAAATCCAAATGGATTGTATATAAGATGATGTATAATCCTCTTTAGTGTTATTTTGTTCTGTTGATTTTTTATCTGTCAAGAAATCAATTGGATTCTGCACATCAGCTTGCCCTTCTGGGGTAATATCCTTAGTTTCTGTGCTAAAAATCATTTGTTCATTAGCATCAAAGTTTTTTTCCAATGTAGGTTGATAATCCAGATGTGAATTTAATTCCTCCATCTCAGTGGGTTGTAAGCAAAGTTGAGAACAGGTCTCTTGGGTATACATCCCCTCTACTGTTTCTTGGCCTGCAAAGTGCTCACTTGCACCTTGTGCTTTAATTTGTCGTTGAAAAATAATCTCTTTTGTACAGGCAACTATTAGCTCAGTATTTTGAAGAATTTTATCCAATATATACTTGTAATCAAAGTCTAGGCAGGGTTCCTCCATTTCAGTAATGTTTAGAGCCATTATTCTTTTGGTGGAGGCTGTATTTAATAACAATCAGTCAATATCCGCCTCCAGCCAGCTGTACAGCTTCTTTATCTTTTCCTTTTTGTGATAATTTGAAGGTCAAAGTCAAACTCAGAGTCCAAGAAAAGGAAATAACGATTGCAGTTGGTAATTTCACCACAAGATGTCCCCAGAGGGTTATCCAAAGTTATTCAGTCTTTCCAAACCCCCAGTAAAAATAATTTCTTTCCTCTTTTCCCTTTTCCTTCTTTTCTTTAATTAAAAAAAATAGTGAAAAGTAAAAGAAAGCAATTTTCTCCAAATAACTAGCATATTAAGTCTCTATATCAGGGAATTTTGGGACCCCCAGATGTCCAAAAATAAAATCAACCATTAAAAAGTAGAAATTAATTTTTCTTTTGTTCCAAAGTTTTTCTTCCCCCATCAACAACGCCGCTTTAACAAAATAGGGAAATAGTTCCAAAAAAGGTTTTCACAGGAGTAAATAGGGAAAGTAGAGGCAAGGAAAGGTCTCACCGAATCTTCCACGGTGGTTCTATTTCGCTTAGATGTTCTTGTGGCTTATGGCTGGTGCACCTAAGTGATCGGCCATTTTACTGACTGATCTTTACTCCGTCGGCCCAAAGGAGCTTACTCGGACTGCAGAAGACACCGCTGCCCTTCTGCAGTCAAACGAGGGGCCTCCTCAATGGTAGTCGCCCCTCCAATCAAGGGTCTACCGGCAGAGGAAACTCAGCCGGCGAAGAGAGGAGTCTCTCCGCATGACCGCGGCGCCACGAACTGGAACCGGAAGCCCTAAGTCTAGGATTTTTGATAAGCCTTTGAGCAGCCATCATCAGCAAGCCTTACATTGGGAATGTTAACAGGAAATATGCAAATAGAGAATTATCAGTCAAATCAGAGATGCTGTCTTATTTCAGGTCCCTAATGGCAGGATGCAAAAACATGCCAATCCCTTTCTTCCAGCCCTGTTTCTATAAGTATTCTGGCTGTTCCAGTTATACGAGGGCAGTTCGGAAATAAACCTCCATTTGGTTATCAATGACAGACACTCGCAGATACAAAACTTTTATTATACACATTAGAAAACTACAACACTACATTACTTTTTGACATAATCACCATTCAAATTGAGGCACTTGTCATAATGTCTTACAAGGTTTGAAATTCCTTAGTAGTAGTTGCTCGGCGCCAAAACTGGGCTATAGGGGGTGTGTGATCAAAAACATCCCAATGGAACTGCTTCAAAAGTTCTTGGGTGCGTCTAGCGGTTTGCGGGCAAGCATTATTGTGAACCAACACCACACTGGAGGTAGTGCCATAGAAAATCCCACCAAATGTGAAGATGCCAAAGGAGTACTGCTAGTTAAGTTCATGGAGCGTGGTTCAACCATCAATTCAGAAGTCTACTGTGAAACGTTACGAAAACTCAGACAAGCCATCCATAACAAGCATCGAAGCATGCTGACTTCCGGTGTGGTGTTGGTTCATGATAATTCTCGCCTGCACAACGCTAGATGCACCCAAGAACTTTTGAAGCATTTCTGTTGGGATGTATTTGATCAACCCAGCATAGCCCAGATTTGGCGCCGAGTGACTACTACTAGGGAATTTCAAACCTTGTAAGACATTACGACAAGTGCCTCAATTTGAATGGCAATTATGTCAAAAAGTAATGTAATGTTGTAGTTTTCTAATGTGTATAATAAAAGTTCTGTATATCTGTAAGTGTCTGTCATTGATAACCAAACAGGTTTATTTCCGAATTGCCCTCGTATATTTCAATTGGGTTGTCTGTTCAGGCTGCATCAGCGAAGGAAGCTATTAACAGTTTAGAGCAATAAGCATAAGCAAGGGACAACGTATCTTGGTTCCTGAAGCAAGATGTTTATCTTTAGATTTAACATGTATATCTGCATTTTCTTTCTGTGTTCATCCCTTTTTCCCTCCAGTGAGGGGTGCCATCTACTAGAGCAGCTCAATATCTCATGGTGTGACCAAGTGACAAAAGATGGCATCCAAGCTTTGGTGAGAGGCTGTGGTGGACTCAAAGCTCTGTTTCTTAAAGGCTGCACACAGGTACTGTACAAGTCTCCACTGAAAGTGCAACAGTGTAGAAAGCTATTGGCTGACCTTGATTTGTTTCATGTACACAAAGGCAATGTGTTGTGACTCTCATATGAGGCACTGAAAATTGGAGAAAGAATGCTAAAGAAACAAGAATATTCTTCTATTTATTATTTTGTTTTGTCATCCCAGACTATCCAAAAGTGTTATAATAGTAATTCACAATTTGTTCTTTAAATTAGAGCATTACAGGTAGTCCTTGGGTTACAACAGCAATTGGGACCACAATTTCTATCACTAAGTGATGTGCATGTAAAGGACAACATCATGTGACTGCATCATTTAGCAACAGCAATCCCAGCATTGCCTGTTACCATCTTTAAGCGAGGATTGTGGATCATTAAGCAAGGACCTCATATGACAGCAACTTGAAACTTCCTGCCAGCTTCCAGCAAGTACAGTCAATGGGGAAGTCAACAGGAAGTTGCAAATCCCGGTCACAAGACTTTCCTTGGGCAGTCCACAAAGAGGCCAGAGGGTGGGTAAATGCTATGGAGCGTGGCCAGGTGGGGATGGGGTGTTGCAGTACAAGTACAGCTGGGCGGTGAGGTGCTGCAATGGGGTGTGATTGCGGGTGTGGGTGTTGAGCCCATTGAGGGCTGGCGCTAAGGAGTGTAGGCAGAGAGGGTGCTGCATGCGTTATGGAGTACAAGATCCTCCAGGATCTCGTATTCCCATAACAGGGCTCCTCAGAGAAAAACTGCCAGGAGCCACAAATAAATCTTGAAATAAATCTTGAATAAATCTTTTTCAAGAATCAATATGATTTGGATTTCCAAGAATCTTGCTAAGAATCTTGCTAATAAAATTTCAAAAGTGGATATTCTGCCTAAAAGTTTTTCAGATTATAATCCAGTTCTTCTACTTAGAAAAAAGACTTCACAGTTTAGATGAAGACTGAACAAGCCTATTTTACAGAAACCTGGCTCAAAAACAGTAACTGTGAGAGGGATCTTGGAGTCCTAGTGGTCGATCACTTAAACATGAGCCAGCAGTGTGCGGCAGCAGCCAAAAAAGCTAATACAATCCTTGGTTGTATAAACAGAGGCATAGAATCAAAATCACGTGAAGTATTAGTACCGCTTTATAAAGCCTTAGTAAGGTCACACCTGGAATACTGCATCCAGTTTTGGTCACCACTTTACAAAAAAGATGTTGAGACTTTGGAAAAAGTGCAAAGAAGTAAACTAAGATGATTAAAGGCCTGGAGACAAAAACATATGAAGAATGGTTGCAGGAACTGGGTATGGCCAGTCTAGAGAAAAGAAGGACTAGGGTGTAAGACGCTAAGACAAAGACGCAGGCATGTCTTGAGTAGAGGTTTGAAGCTGCAGGACACAGCTTGACAAACTCTGAGTTTATTTCTTTTTATATACTTGTTACAAACACCAGCTTAACCATTAGATGCTGACAAAGGTTTCTTCATTGGAAAATGTCTTCATGTAAGCATCTATTTTCTAGTAACACATTACATGGTCAAAGGTCAGGTAAGAACAAATACAGGGAGATGAAAGCAGAAGGAACTAACAAAGGCAAAAAGATATAGAAAGAAACTTAAGCATATTATCTGTTTAGGTAGGTGAAGCATTAAGTCAAAAGGGTATGACCTTCTGGCTGCTTCATTGGGATAAAGGGTATCAAGAGGTTATGAGGTTTGTGGGGGGGAAAGCACGGCAGTTTGCTGCGCGTGCATTTCCCCCCACATCTCACTCTTCTTTATTTTATTAGTGAGGACATTATCCTAAGCTGGAGTAGTTAGTGGGTCTTAGTCAGGGGACATATAACTTTGCATTTGTTTATGTAGCGGGGACTGCCTGAGAGTGCTTGCAGGAGCTTGACTGGGAAGGGAAAGATTGGGACAGCTGCAGTTGGCTTTGGGTGTGGCTGGCGTGAGTGGAAGGAGGAAGGATAGAAAAGGGAAGAAAAGGAGAAGGCCGGGGTGGTTGAAGTTGAGAAGAGAAGGTCTGGAAGCTTATTTTATTTTTCTATCAAGGGTATTTTAAATAGAGGCTAAGTAGAGTGAAGTTTTATTGCTTCCTCCGTGGGAGGATATCTGAAATGGAGGCAAGCGAGAGTGTGAAGTAAGGGAGTTGGCTGGGGTTTCTAGCCTCGGATTTTAATAATAAAGAGTAGGGAGGGGGTGGTTTTGAATCCTGAAACCCGAAGAGGAATTCTAGAGAAGAAGCACCAGGAGGAGAGAGACTGGTGGTGCCAACTGTTGCTGCCAACTGTTGTTGTGGACTTTGGAGGCATCTGGAC